AACATTTTTGGTGGAACAAAAAATAAACCAAATTCCCATCATAGAGGGTTTCCAAAATACGTGGGTGATTTGTTGCAAAAGAATATTTTAATTCACTGCAACATTAGATCTATACATAGAGAAACATTGTAAATACACTAGGTGAAACATCTTTTGTGGAACAAGGAGAGGGACAAGTGGGTGGGTCCAGCGGGGTGCACACTTGGGGGGAGGGGGAGCAACCGATTTTCCCACCTCCCCCCGGTCGACCGATACAGAGCATTATCGGAATAATACTTCGGATTTCGATTGGACATACCACCCATACCCATCGGGTGCGGTGCGGATGCGGTGTGGACCCATGGATAAAAATACTATCCCTAATCTAGCCTCTAGGCGCACTTCTCGAGAAAAGGCACGGATGACATAATTTGGCTGAAAGGAAGCTACGACACACCAGCGATACACGATGTACTCAGCTGGCATTCATTCGCGATTTCTAATCGGCACGCGCCGGCGGCGCACGTTTCCGGCTCATAAGGCCCAGCGCCGGCACGCGCGCGCCTCCCACTCTTTTTTTTTCGTTTTTCTTTACCCATTTTTTTCGCTTTTACCTTTTTTTCTGATTATTTTTTTAATATTTAGCATGTTTTGAGTTTGAAAGTTTTAAATTTTGAGTTGAAAATTTTCAATTTTGAACTTGAAAGTTTTTAAATCTTGACTTGAAAGTTTTCAAAATTTTCAAATCTGGACTTGAAAGTTTTGGAAATCTGGACTTGAAAGTTTTCACATCTCGATTTGAAATTTTTCAAAGCTGGACTTGAAAGTTTTCGAATCTCGAGTTGAAAGTTTTCAAATCTCAAATTGAAAGTTTTCAAATTTTTCAAATCTGGACTTGAAAGTTTTCGAATCTCGAGTTGAAAGTTTTCGAATTTGAGTTGAAAGTTTTTGAATTTGAGTTGAAAGTTTTCAAAATTTGACTTTAAAATTTAAAATTTAAATCGAAAATTTTCAAATCTAACTTAAAAAATTTTCAATCTGTTTGTAAAAAAAATCTCCAGAATCTTTCCTAATTACTATCATTAGCATTAACTATATTAACTAATAGAGGTAGTTAAGTATATTAACTAATAGTGTTAATAGAGATAGTTAATAGGGGAGAAGTGCTCGCTAGCAGCGAGCACGCGCTAGCTAGGAGTCCCCGCATTCATTTCTAATGCGACAAGGATGTTTAGTTCACATCAAAATTCAAAGTTTGGTTCAAATTGAATGATGTGACGGAAAAGTTAGAAGTTTGTGTGTAGGAAAGTTTTGATGTGATGAAAAAGTTGAAAGTTCGAAGAAAAATTTTGGAACTAAACACGGCCAGAGTTAAGTTACGAATAAAAATCATTAGCATATAATAAATTAAATTTTAATTATTACAAATTTAATAAAAGATGAATTTATCTCAATATTCTAAAGCAAAATCTATTGAGAAAGTTTTTTTATAAAATACACCGTTTTACAGTTTAAAAACATACTAACGAGAATTAGCATAAAATACATATTTTAATCAGAAATAATAACCTAAATGAGTATCGTGGTTTCATCCCGAGCGTCAACGATGATTTGGACTCCTACTCAATGATAGGCGTCGCGCTCCAGCCATCGTTCATCCCAATTGGGGACGAACCATCTCGATTTCAACTCCCGAGGGTACGTACTCCCTCCGTCCAGGGATTTTGATTTTTTATTGGTACTGTTTAACCATTTATCTTATTAAAAAAATTTAGAATTATTATTTATTTTATTTGTGACTTACTTTATTATCTAAAGTAATTTAAGTACAACTTTTCGTCTTTTATATTTGTATAAATTTTTTAATAAGACGAGTGGTCAAACAGTGCATGTAAAAAATCAAAATCCCTAATATTATGGGACAGAGAGAGTACTATTTTTGGTCAATCAGAAAATTGGTTTCTCTCATAAAAAATGACACTAATCGCTCATTAGGACTTTAGGTTCACCATCGTCCAATAAAAAAAAAATGACACTAATCGGGACTCATTAGGACTTTAGGTACGCCATCGTCCAATAAAACAAATTTCAGGCGTCAACACATGCTCATCCACAAAATGGAAAAAAATCATGCACATATCTATCGTCACATTTAACTTGGACATACTTCTGATTTTGATTGGAATAATTAATTCTTTTGTTACCAGCTTCTTCCTATTAAAAAACAAGGTGAATATTACGGGATGACCTCGTATCAAATAATTAGAAGGGGTGAGCCTTCGAACCCAAATCATCTACCACGCTACCTTGTGAAGCTAGCCGGAAAACCCCTGAGCGGTTCTCAATTACCTTCACTACTACAAAATAGGTCTTTGCATACGGGCGGGAGAGATTTTCGCATGTGGTTGGCGCAACCGCATGCAGGAAATCGTCTGTGAAAATCGCTAACTTTGCATGCGGCCAGGGCACCCGCATGCGAAAATCCGATTTTCGCATGCGGGCACTTAAGCCGACCGCATGCAAAGAGAAAAAATCGCCAAAAAAAATAAAATTCCAAAAAAAAAACCCTAGCCCGCAGGCGGCAGTGCCGCCGCCCGAGCTCGCCGGCCGCTCCCGTGCCACCTGCCCCCGCTCCCACCGCCGTTCGCCCCGGTTCCGCCGCCGCCCACTCCCGCTCGAGCTACCACCGCCGGCCACCCCCGCTCTCGCCGGATCCGAGCGGGACGAGGCCCACCACCGCCGGATCTAGACGGGACGAGGCCCGCCGCCGCCGGATCCGGGAGAGACGAGGCCCGCGTCGCCACCCCGTCGCCGCCCAGTCGTCGGGATCGTCGTTGGGGTCGTCGTCGCGCCGCTCTCGGCCGCCTCCGCCCGCCGGATCCGGGAGCCCACTCGTCGTTGCCGCCCAGTCGTCGTCGCCGTCGTCAGGGTTTGTCCGCACCGGGGTCATCGTCATCGTCGCGCAGCTCTCAGCCACCTCCACGCGCCGCGCGCCATGCCGCTCCCGCCCGACGCCACCGCGCGTCTTCCGCCGCCGCTCACCGTGCGACGCGCCGCTCTTGGCCACCGGCGCCGCCGCACGCCCTACGCCTCCGAAAGTTTGAGAGACAGATAGGAGAGAAAGAGTGAGTGAGAGAGAGGAAGAGAAAGAGATGAGGGGAAGATATCAGAGAGGAGAGAGTGAGAGAGAGAGTAGAGAGGAGAAGAGATGGAAAATTTTGAAGTGGTGAGGAGGGAAAAAAATAATCTAAAATTATGAGAACTTCAAATCAAATTTTATGATATTAAATGAACTCATATGAAAAAGTTACCAAAAACAAAGTTGTAGAACTCATTGAGATCTACCAATTTTCTTTTGGTCATTTGTCCATCCGAGTTTGACTGAACTATATAAAATTTGAACTTTTTAATATAAGAAATTCAAATAATGTTTTCACATAGTAAATGATTTCAAATAGAAAAGTTGTCAACAACAAAGTTGTATAACTTATCAAGATCTACAACTACTTTTGTATTGGTCATTTTTCTATATGACTTTGTTTGAATCGTTTGAATTTGAATTTCAAAATATGACAACTTCAAACAACATTTTCAAATACAAAATGATTTCAACTCAAAAAGTCATCAATAACAAGGTTGTATAACTCATCAAGATCTATAACTTCTATTTTGATCATTTCTTCATCCGATAAAGTGATTTGTAAGATTGTTCATAAAATGCACATCTCTTTTATAGTTTATATAAGAGATGTGCATTTTATGAACAATCTTACAGATCACTTTAATTGATGACCTTTTCAGATGAAATCATTTACTACTTCAAAATATTATTTGAAGTTTTGAAGTTCAAATTTTTAATTGATAAAACAAAGTCACAAGAAAAAATAGCCAAAATAATACCATTAAGAACATAATAACATGATAGAGCATGATTTTACAAATATTTAGAGAAAAAAATCATTCAACTTGGAGTTCATATAAGTGAGATACACTAGTTTCAAATTTTTTAAATTTTATTTTCGCATACGGCTTCTTAAGTGGCCCGCATGGAAAAATCGATTTTTCCATGCAGGCGCTTAAGTGAGCCGCATGCAAAAATGAGCTCATTTTTGTATCATTTTTGCATGCGGCCCTCTTAAGAGGCCCGTATGGAAAAATCGATTTTTCCATACGGGCCACTTAAGCAACCGTATGGGAAAATGACCCTCGATTTTTTACAGATGCCACTTGTTACGGTCCGCATGGAAATATGATGGGGCCTCGTACATAAAAATTTTTGGTAGTAGTGCTTCTTCCTATTGAATGTGTTGTTTACCAATTTAACCGAACTTGCATGTTCTATCTATCTATGTACTTCCTCTGTTTTACAATGTAAGTCATTCTAGCATTTTCCACATTCATATTGATGTTAATGAATCTGGATAGATATATATGTCTAGATTTATCAACATCAATATGAATATCAATATGAATATGAAAAATGCTAGAATGAATTATATTGTGAAACGGAGGGAGTACATATTTGTACAAATTGACCACCAGAGCTCACACATTGATCAGCAAGATTTGGATCTTGATTAGATGGACCCTATGTACCTATACATTGATCACCACTTTCTAGGAGCTCACACATTGATTAGAAATATATATTTTTTTAAACAACACGTATAAGATAGTGCAAGATTTGGTACTCACAATAACTATTGAATCATGAAAGATCTATCTCGATATTGTCAAATATCAACAATAACAGCCCAATTTATGGGTCGATGACTAGTATATATAATAGATACTCCCTCCGTCTTAAAATATAAGATATTTTAGGTGGATATGACATATAGTAGTACAATGAATCTGGGACATACTCATTATAATAGTGTTGTCATATCTACCCAAATTTCTTATATTTTAAGATAGATGGAGTATTCGATCTCTTTATTGCATAACAGAACAACACGCAGAGTATGTAGTACTATCTTATATAGCTTCCTAGGACTATATAAGAGGATTTGTGGTCAGGTTAAGCTGAACGAGACAATCCATCTAAACGCCTGGACGATTTAGCGGGTTAATGAATAGGCTAGGCGGTTATATGTCACTCTCATGCATATTAGTCATCAAGTTGAATTGGCCCTGATTGACAGACGAGCAGTGACTATTAGCTAGTAGCAACCAATAGATGAAGACATTACTGAATGCATACAGTTGGTCTCCACCAATCTGAAGATAATTCAACAAATATGTAACCTTTCACAATATATAGGTGTTGCCTCGAGTGGGTTCAGAAAGGAAACCAACTAGACCAAGAGCAAGCATGATATCTCCCCAGCTTCTCCTACTTCTGGCCTTCTTCCATTTCCTGAGCCCATACCTTCCGCTATCTGCTTTTGCGCAATTTCGCAATGATTCCAGTGCTGATCGACTAGCCCTCCTCTGCCTCAAGTCCCAGCTCCTTGACCCCTCTGGAGCGTTAACCTCATGGGGAAATGAATCCCTTTCAATCTGCAATTGGAACGGAGTTACATGCAGCAAGCGCGATCCATCTCGAGTTGTTGCTTTAGACCTCGAGTCACAGAATATTACAGGCAAAATATTTCCTTGTGTTGCAAACCTCAGTTTCATCTCTAGAATTCACATGCCCGGTAACCATCTCAATGGCCAAATTTCTCCTGAGATTGGCCGCTTAACCCACCTTACATTCCTTAATCTCAGCATGAATTCCCTTAGTGGTGAGATACCGGAGACTATATCATCATGTTCCCATCTCGAGATTGTCATCCTGCATAGAAACTCCCTTTCAGGTGAGATCCCTCGAAGTCTTGCTCAGTGTTTATTTCTTCAGCAAATTATTCTAAGCAATAACCATATTCAAGGAAGCATCCCTCCAGAGATTGGTCTCCTTTCCAACCTTTCTGCACTATTTATTCGTAACAATCAACTCACTGGCACCATTCCTCAACTATTAGGGAGTAGCAGATCACTTGTCTGGGTGAATCTCCAGAATAACAGCTTAACTGGGGAGATACCCAATTCCCTGTTCAATTGCACTACCATTTCTTACATAGATCTCTCATATAATGGTCTATCTGGGTCTATTCCTCCATTCTCACAAACATCTTCATCGCTACGATACCTTAGCTTAACTGAAAACCACCTCTCTGGTGTGATACCTACCTTAGTTGATAACCTTCCATTGTTGTCCACACTGATGCTTGCTAGAAACAACTTGGAAGGAACAATTCCAGATAGCCTAAGTAAACTTTCTAGTTTACAAACACTAGACCTAAGTTATAATAATTTGTCAGGTAATGTTCCGCTAGGACTATACGCAATTTCAAATCTTACCTATCTTAACTTTGGTGCCAACCAATTTGTAGGGAGAATTCCCACCAATATTGGCTATACCCTTCCAGGACTCACAAGTATAATTCTAGAAGGGAACCAGTTTGAGGGACCGATTCCTGCTTCGTTGGCCAATGCCTTGAATCTCCAAAATATATATTTTCGAAGGAACTCATTCGATGGTGTTATTCCTCCATTAGGATCCCTGTCCATGTTGACTTATTTAGATCTAGGTGACAATAAGCTTGAGGCTGGAGATTGGACTTTCATGTCCTCACTAACAAACTGCACCCAACTACAAAATTTGTGGTTGGACAGAAACAATCTCCAAGGAATAATACCATCATCTATTTCCAACCTTTCTGAAAGCCTAAAGGTATTGATCCTAATACAGAACAAATTGACTGGTAGCATACCTTCCGAGATAGAAAAACTCAGTAGCCTCAGTGTCCTTCAAATGGATAGAAATTTTCTTTCTGGCCAAATTCCTGACACACTAGTAAATCTTCAAAACTTGTCAATCCTAAGTTTGTCCAACAACAAGCTTTCTGGAGAGATCCCACGATCAATTGGAAAATTAGAGCAGCTTACTAAACTTTATCTTCAGGATAATGATTTAACAGGGAAAATACCTTCTAGTTTAGCCAGATGCACAAATTTGGCAAAACTAAACCTTTCTAGAAATTACCTTAGTGGAAGCATTCCATCAAAACTATTTTCCATTTCGACACTTTCAGAAGGTTTAGACATATCCTATAATCAACTAACCGGACATATACCACTGGAGATTGGTAGGTTGATTAATCTTAATTCACTTAACATCTCACACAACCAATTATCTGGTGAGATTCCCTCTTCTCTTGGGCAGTGCCTTCTGTTGGAATCCATCAGCTTGGAGTCAAATTTTCTACAAGGAAGCATCCCAGAATCTCTTATAAACTTAAGAGGCATCACGGAGATGGATCTTTCCCAAAACAACTTATCTGGTGAAATCCCAATATATTTTGAGACTTTTGGATCTCTACACACTCTCAATCTGTCCTTCAATAACCTTGAGGGACCAGTCCCTAAAGGAGGTGTGTTTGCAAATTTAAACGATGTGTTTATGCAAGGAAATAAAAAGTTGTGTGGAGGTTCTCCAATGCTACATTTACCACTTTGCAAGGATTTGTCATCCAAAAGGAAAAGGACACCTTATATTCTTGGTGTAGTCATTCCAATCACTACCATTGTTATAGTCACCTTGGTATGTGTTGCCATCATTCTTATGAAGAAGAGAACTGAACCAAAGGGAACCATTATCAACCATTCATTCAGGCATTTTGATAAGTTATCGTACAATGATCTGTACAAAGCAACTGATGGTTTCTCTTCAACAAATCTTGTTGGTTCGGGAACATTTGGATTCGTATATAAAGGTCAGTTGAAGTTTGAAGCACGCAATGTTGCAATTAAAGTTTTTAGACTTGACCGAAATGGAGCACCAAACAACTTTTTTGCTGAATGTGAGGCATTGAAAAACATTCGCCACCGGAATCTTATAAGAGTCATTAGCCTATGCTCAACATTTGATCCATCAGGAAATGAATTCAAAGCACTTATTCTTGAGTTTAGGAGCAATGGGAACCTCGAAAGCTGGATTCATCCAAAAGTGTACAGTCAAAGCCCTCAAAAACGGTTGAGTTTGGGTTCAAGAATTAGAATAGCTGTAGATATTGCAGCTGCATTAGACTATCTTCATAATCGATGCACTCCTTCTTTGGTTCATTGTGATCTGAAACCAAGCAATGTCCTTTTGGATGATGAAATGGTTGCATGTCTTAGCGACTTTGGACTTGCAAAGTTTCTTCACAATGACATTATAAGCCTGGAAAATTCATCAAGCTCTGCTGTACTGAGAGGATCAATTGGATACATTGCTCCAGGTAAGGACTTTTCATTCTTATTCGTTCGTTTCTACAGCTTCCACATTATCTGTCACGGAGGTGATGGGCAATCCCATTCCATAGAATCAAGTATTATATTTCGACTGACAGATATTTTATTAAGTAACTTGGTCAATCTTTGTTGCAGAGTATGGCTTGGGGTGCAAGGTCTCAACTGAGGGTGATGTATACAGTTTTGGAATAATTGTCCTAGAGATGATCACAGGAAAGCGCCCAACCGATGAGATCTTTAAGGATGGCATGAACCTTCACAGCTTAGTGGAGTCAGCATTTCCACATCAGATGAATGACATTTTAGAACCTACTCTCACCACATATCATGAAGGTGAAGAACCAAATCATGATGTGCTTGAAATACAAACGTGTGCCATACAGCTGGCTAAGCTTGCGCTGCTGTGCACTGAGCCATCACCAAAAGATCGACCAACAATAGATGATGTTTACGCTGAGATCATTTCCATCAACGACAAGTATTGTGCACTGATCAACTGAGGAAATGAATGGACATCTTTCAAATTTTAGATAAGATTATCTCTGTATGAATCCAAGTAAAGAACGATGACGATTTTGTACTTACACTCTACACACTAAAATCTTAAAATGGGGGCAATGAAGTTATTGAGGTTCTCCAATACTGTGATGCAGTCTATTCCAAAGGCACTGATCTGGAATTGCGTATGATTGATTTTCCATGCAAGATGCAACAATTGCATACGATTGATTTTCCTTGGAACGGCACATGAAGAAAATATCTTTAATTATGCGTACTACGAACTATATATATTCTAGCTAAATTAAGATGCATCACAGTACATATTCAGAGGAACAGAAACACAATGTAATGAACTGTGATGATGACAAAGAAGCAGAAAACTTATAAGTACGAATTTGTTAATCATGGACCAGAAGTCTTAACCCTAGCTAGTATGATCATACACCCAGCCTGGGCCCTGGATACCCTATCAGGTCCAGCCCATGCATGTAGTGCTGAAACTCCAAATTGTGCAGAAATTGAGCAGCTGGATAGTAAATGGAGTCACCCATGTTACATCAATGGAAATAAGTCCTTATGGTGATTTAGCTAAATCAGTTATCCTATTCCACTTCTATTGGTCGCAACTTTCTAGATCCCCTTATACTTGTTTTTAGTTAGTCCATCATCACTTCGCTGTTCTACACCACGGTTCTTCTTTTCGCGTTTGATGCAGTACAATATCAGTCATGCATGGTTGCTGTAATTAGCACAAGCGATCGATGGAACGGGAACTCTGTTTTACCTAAGGATCTACAGTACTTCCTCCGTCTTTAAATATTTGACGCCGTTGATTTTTTTAAATATATTTGACCGTTCGTCTTATTCAAAAAATTTAAGTAATTATTAATTTTTTTCTATCATTTGATTCATTGTTAAATATATTTTTATGTATACATATAGTTTTACATATTTTATAAAAGTTTTTGAATAAGACGAACGGTCAAACATATTTAAAAAGGTCAACGGCGTCAAATATTTAGGAACGGAGGGAGTAATAATTATAGTTTATTGATGAGTAAAGACTAAAAAAAACTGGGAAACATACATATAGAACATCAATGAGTCAACGTAGAGGTAGCCCAAGATAGAAACGAACTCGACGAATTTCCATAGATAAAGCCAGGCTAACTCAGAGGCCAATCTCTGCACAATAATCTCTGGCGTCGATTGAAGATACAGGTGCATGGCTACATTTGTTAATCTTATGCCTAATGGCCTATTTTGAGAAAATGGTGTCCTGTAATTTCCTGGTGCGTCCTAAACCTACGATGACATGTGTGAATCATGTTGGGACAAAATCCAACTAGCGTGTTCAATGTGTACTCTGTATTCAATGTGTCCACAACTATGAACAATGTTTACATATTTATACAAGGGGTACAAGAGGAAGTTACATCTTTACCCTAGCTAAAAACAGATGTAGAGTGGCTGGCCAGTGGACCAGCCCTAGGGCAATTAGTAAAACCCCTGGTGACAGGGAGGGCTGCGCCCATTAAGGAGGTGGTGACGCTTCCCGAGGGTGATGACTATTATCCGGTTAAAGGCATCCTCTCGGATAATAGTGGATGTCATCCTACCCCTGTCAGGATGTCAGAGGTGGTTGGCGGATGCGTAATGCGTATTAATGGTGCCCCACTACGTATACGCTCGTGAACCATTCCTCCATGCTTGAGTATTCTAGCTTCCCGAGCACTCCGGAGCCTTTGATTTGCTCTGAAACCGTTAGTTAGCTCCGGAGCTTGTGACTCGCTCCGGAGTCGTTGGTCCGCTCCGGAGCATGTGGTGGGCTCCGGGGTGGTGAGTTATATTATACCCCTCGTTGGTCTCGAAGAGGGGTATAAACCTGCCCCCCAAGTGGCTCACGGTGACATGGGCCATCAATATGTGACATATTTTTTATTCTCGTGTTCGTGAATAGTAAACATTCATTTTATTGTTCATGTGTTGCATTTGTTTGATATAGAGCAATTAGGATGGCTTTAGTAATCTAGTAATTCCACACATGTGAATTAGGTGATCATCTAGGCTAAGATCATCCAAGTGAGCTGCGCACAGCAAAGATTCTGTTATTAGGATAATTGGGCTGGAAAGGTTTGTATCAGTCCCTGTAAGACATAGTTCTCATATCAATGTACTCTTTTCTAGAAGAAAGATATTTAAATTCAGAAAAAAAAACATGAACCAAGTAAAAGCAAAGGGAGGAGGGCAAGATACACATTCTAATTATCTCGTTTGGTCAATTGACCTGCAATAAGCTGCACTTCCGGTGTATTGGATAGCTAGCTCCATACCTGTAATATATATGCATTCCTACACGGCCAACTGATTAGTAGAACAAAGAGATGAAGAAGGATCGCCGCGATGGTCAATGCTCCACTCTACCAAGTGTGCGCAACAGGAACGGAAACTGGAGCAGCGCAACCTCACCACAAATTTCAAGTGACATGTGAATTCCCAATGCTTTCCAAGCTTACTATATACACTCTGTTAGTCTTTTTTTTTCTCATTTCATATATTTTTTGGGGCATATATAGATGACTTTTAAAGACGCCACATCCATCTTTTTCTTTCTATAAAGTTAATGCTCACTAAACATCTAAATCTTAACGTGCAAGCATAATATTTATTAGCACTCAACCTACATGCAAACATGCCACATCAACCTATTAAGCACACAAAACTCAACATGCAAGCATATAGTAATTATAATTATATCTATAATTTATTTCATTCTAAAACTAAACATACATATGCTAAATCTTCATTCTCAAATCATTTCAATTATATTTTAACTTATATCATTTCATCATTTCTCTATTATCCAGCATATATTCCGCAGCAAAGCTTTGAGCATCATCTAGTATATATTTATGTGGAATGCCACTATTCCGGTTGAGTGTTTTTAGTGTACAATTAAGGATTCTGTTTGTTTGCCCGGTTGAGTGTTTTTAGTGTACAATTAATAGGATTCGGTTTGTTTGCTCTGGAGCGATTGTCCTCGAGAGCGAAGTAATACAAAATAATACTTACAGTACCCTGCTACTTCCATTTCTAGGCATAGAAAAGCTTGGTTGTGTGAGCTGATAATTTATAGGGATGCCAGGCAAGACATCTAACTGAAGAGCCCAGCCAATTATAGCCAAGATTTAGTGTATCTTTTTTTTATTCTGCACCAATATATATGTAGTGTCTTCGAAGTCATCGAACACACTAAAACATATGCGAAATGAAAAAAAACAATGGCGTCGATCGCGGAGTGTGTGGTGAGCTTGGAAAGCATTAGGAATTGGCATTTCACGGACTGAGACTACCGAACGTTTAGCAATCGGTTGCTAACGGCCATTGTTGTCTCCGTATACGCCTTCATCTTATCTGCTAGCTGCGCAGGCGCAGCTAGTAGGCTTCTAAATCTGTCGGCAGAAAACAATAATCACCATAGGTGTTCTGCCTTCATCCGTTTGCTTGGACAGTGGATAAGTGTTCTGCAATCCTACCTAATTGATTGAATGATGGATCACGAAAAGAAAAAAAATAAAAGTAGTTTTGGCATGTGTTTACAAGATGGAGAATGCGTGGATACCAGCATATTAGTAAAGAAAATAGTTACATTTATTATGGTTAGGGGCTTATTTGATTTTAGTCAACTGAACTGGTGCCTCCACTCTACTACTCACCCTCCTTGATCATAATGCATTCGATATGCAGAGTGGGAGCCATGTCTAATTGTCCGTGATGACAGAGCGGAAAACACAGAAATACCACCCTGAGCAAGTATAGTGAGTAGTGAGTGTTGGAGGAACAGAGGAGTACACATCCACTAGCCATTACTGAATACCCGAGAGCATCCACAATGTGTAAACTAAGATGGCTACTAAAACAATCTTTAGATTGTAGCAAGGATCCTATACATTGCAAGAAGCAGGGTCTTAAGCCACCGAAAAGCAAATTGCCTCTTCCATGTGGGCACAAACTGAAATCCTATATATTGCACAAACTGAATTGTGTACTTATCTTTCCATGTGGGCCCTAGCTCAATTAGGGAGGGGGGTATTTACACATTGTGGATACTATGAGCATATGCATATGAATGGAGTGTACTAAATGAGTAGAGTGAGCTTAAAGTAGAGAAACCTAGTTTCACCGATGCCTATTGCCTAAGGATCCTAGTTGAGAGTTGTCTTCCATGCATGACAAGAAGTGGATCATAGGCTTGGAAAGCACCAGGATTGAGTGACTCAACCTAATTAGTATAGGATCAACTAAAAGTTGTGCATTTGCCTAAACATTTCTTAAGCATTAGAGATGCTTCATAAATGATACATGGTGTCAGGTCTCCCTCCAAGAAGCCTGATAACTCGGAAACACGCTATACAGGGGTCAGACGTGTTCCATACCAAGCTGGACAAGGTGGGCCACAACAAGGAAGAAGCCCAGAATGTCCTGTGCATCCAAAGGCCGAAGAAGGACAATCCCAAAAATCGCGAGGAGGAAGCGTGCATCAGTCTTGGCGTGTTCTGTAATATAAGCACGAGAAACATAGGAACGTGGTATATATATACCAGTGTAGATTATAAGCAGAGTAGACAAAGTACGCATTGGAGACAAACACACTTTAAGGTAATGACTTAGAGGATCTATGGCCCACTGAATCGTTCATTTTTCTTTTTGATTGGAATAAGAGTGATGGGCCTTGGGCCAGATTTTTAATGTGGTCCATGCCCACACACAGACCATCTTATAGCTTGGCATGTGTATATATACTATTTTAAAAGGTGGTAGTTGTGGTGATGGTGAATCTGCTACCACTAGCTCTATCACTAACATATGACCCTCCGTGTTCGTGAAATCCATGTAATCAATAAATTTAAACGTTCCCCAAAAGAACAGTGCCTACACAACATAATGTCCATATTATTTGGTAAGATCTGATAAGTATGTAGTGAAGGAATCTATATACTTTAAGTGGTTGAGCCATTCTACATATTCTTCAAATGATGAGCATGCAGTGTGCATAGCATGATAATTTTTTTTGTGATTGCAGTGCATAGGCAATTTGCTAGTCTATCGTAAAATACAGATTGAGAACCCATAATTCAGTGGTAAATTAAGGAGTAAAGCCAGCAGCCCCCAACCGAGTTGTCCTGACAGCACGAAC